AGTGAACTGAAGAGATAGAGGAGAAGATACTATCACCTGATATTCCTGATTCTTATAATGTTTTCTGGATAAAGATGATCGAATATACATATCCAAACTTAAGGATGAATGCAATTATTAGAGGTGATAGCTAGCAATATTTCAAAGGGTTGGAATGTGTTCCAGGCATAAAGCAGGAGGTTGCCCTCACTCTATGACTGGATGTAGAGACTTACATTTAACAGTAACAGCAAAACACAATCAATGTGGCAAGGCCAATCAGCTTGTAAGTTGCCGCCATTCCAGTACAGGAGCAAGAATATCCCACTAAACTGTGACTTGCAGCTGCAAAAAGTAGGGTTATACTCAAAGGCCTATTGTCTGTGTACCTTTATCCAGAGAGCATTATAGTGTGTGTTTGCAGTGGTGTAAAATACAGGCTATTCACATATAAATGTTGTTTGTCCTTAAGTTTTGGACATGTGTAGTCATTCAATGATAAGAATGTTTGAAGAAAGGCAACTTCATAAGTTTATAATAGCTATACAATAAGCTAAACTAAGAGGAGATCATTTGTTGGAACAAATATTAAATGAATAAAACAATTTAAGTTTAAAATGATTCTAATCTAAATTGGAAATAGCTTCACTTTAAGAATCTTAAGGTTTTAGAGAATGCAATAAACTTTATTTTATTTATTTATAATTTCTACATTGACTAATGATATAAAGCAGTTGGAAGCATTGATCATTATTGTAATAATTTAAATAAAAATGAGAAAATTTTGTATTAAGAGGAATTTGGAGGAAAACTTAAAGTTGCATTAAAGATATTACACACTAAGATTTTAGATATGGTTAATTTCTAATAGATTAAGTTAGTGCATTCAGCAATAAAATTTATAATGTCCATAATACATTAGCATCTACAGGATGGGCAAGAAATATCTATGCATTGAGAAATCACTATAATTTCTATATTTCTAACACAAAGATAATGAAAATTATTTGACACATCTTATTAAATGAAAATACAGATACATACCTCAACATTATGTACTCAACTTCCTCAAACAACCAGGAATGGAATTCACAACCTTTTGCAGGAAGTCATGAGGAATGTTGGTGGTAACATCTCAAATCCATACGTCCAATTCTTCCAGTGTTCAAGATTTCATTTGGTACACCTCCTCCATTGTCCAGCCCAGAGGAAAAAGTCACAGGGCATGAGGTCTGGACTTACCTCATGAATGATTCCCAAGAAATCCAAACCTCATGCCTGTGGAGCTGGGCAAAGAAGGCATACGGAACAAAACCTCAAATTCATGCAGAAGGCTGCTTGATACAGTTGGTAGATGGTGCCAGTGTCAACAGTGAATGTTAAGGTATGCAACTGAATTTATGTTTAATAAAGTACAAATAATTTTCATCATCTTTGCAATTGAAGTATAGAAATTATAACGATTTCTCAATGCCTACTTATTTTCCACCCATCCTGATTATATTGTAAAGTGTACAAAAGTGTACTTTTAACAATATAATCAGGGTAAACATTAGAGAAATGATGAATTAGATTTAACACAACATGATGGCTTAATGCCTATTTCTAATCCAAACTGCTTAACATTTCATTCATTATTAATCAGCATCATAGTAACCTAATAAGAATCTAGCTGTAATGTTTGATTAATAAAGGAGACTATAAACATGTTAAAGTTTTAAAACTTATACCTAAAATTACATGTATTTACACACAAATATTTGTTGTAACAATGTTTTATTCACTTAGAACATTTATAATAGCTTAGTTAAAGCATTTCTATCTAATTTATATATCAAAGGATCATTAAAATTAAAAGTTTAATAAACCTTACAATGGTTTGTTTGTAAATGGCAATGTAACATGAGTGATTTGTTGAAGGAGGAATCCTCCCAGAAGGACTTTCTGTGAAAAACTGGTCCTTATTTAGGTGTTAGAAACATGAAGAAAATCCAGAAAACTCCATGTGGCCAGCCCATTGATGATGAGCAAACTCACAACCAACTACCAGTGTTCAATGGTTTTATCCACTCCAGAATAAACCTTATAATGGAAGTGTTGAAAATATAACAATGAAAGTTTAACAAACACTTTGAAATGTTCCTATAAAATCTTTATGAATATTAATATATTTTTAAAGTTAAGGTAACCTCTTAAAGTTATATATCAACGTTACGCTATCTGGAACCTGTGACCGGTGCTCTATGCGTGTATATTGTATATCGCTTGACAAACGTTTTCGAGCGATCTGTTCACTCTTCTTCAGGTCGACTGAAAATTCCCTGGACGGAGTGTATATTATTAACCGGAAGGAAGAGCTAACCCTGTCTCTGGCCTGGCAATCGCTGTTAGATGCCAACCCACCGCTTCCTCCCCCACCACACAACCGCGCATGCCAGAAATGACCCACCTAGTCAGAACCGACACCCAATCCCAACAAATAATATACACTCTGTCCAGGGAATTTTCAGTTGACCTAAAGAAGAGTGAACAGATCGCTTGAAAATGTTTGTCAAGCGATATACAATATATACGTGTATAGCACCAGTCACAGGTTCCAGATAGTGTAACGTTGATTTCACCCCGGTGCTGAAAGTAGAACAGTTCCTATATTTTAAAGTTATATATCTATAATATTTTTAGTATACAGTATTTTCTTTACCATATCCGAGAAACAGCATCCAAGGAGATTACATATTCTTGCTTTCAGCCAATTTTCAATGCAATTATATTGATTTTTCCACACTTCGTGAGCAATATTTACAGCTTCAGATATTTTTCCTACTTTGTAGGAAGAAACAGCTGTTTAAAATTTAAATATTAAAATTCATTATGAAATTTTTTTTCTAAATATAAAGAAATAAACTATTTTAAAAAATTATATCTTTACAATAATAACCTTTTAAGTATTGAAGAAATGGAATATTGCTTAAGTGATTCAAACGTTTGCACGCCTTCAATGATTTCTCGAAATTACCATTCATCGAGAGGCAGTAGACGTAAGTAATTCTGATGACGTCTTGCCATTGTGTAATGGGCAGAGTCCTGCTTGATGTCTTCCAATATAATTTAACTGTTTCCTCCTTTATAAAAATTAAAATAGAATCTTAAATAGTACAGTTTAATTAAATACATATTTTTAATATTCAGATTAATGTATTTATTTTTATCTGAATATTTGACTTAGTTTGAACAAGAATAAAAGCAAAAAGAAGGGAAAAGTTCCACATGTTGATTTTTCTTAACATTCTCAAAAGCTGGAACAGTTGTTAGAAACATGCCACTTTTACTTACTCCAGCACAATAAAATTTAATGGAAGTACAAACATTTTCAGCTACTTTTAGAGCCTTCATCAAGCGAAAGAGCCATTTTTCAGTTGAAGGTAACTTATTCAATGTGAAAAAAATGGCTCTCTTGCCTGAAGGCCCCTAAAAGTAGTCGAAAACATTTGTGCCTCTATTAAACTTTATTGTGCTGGAGAAAATATAAATGATATGCAGTGTGTTAGTGTCTGTTCATTTTATATCTCAGGATGAAACAAAGATAAAGAAATAAAATTTAGCTTAACTTTTAATATAATAAACTTTTAATATTTAGGGGATTGGAACATAGAGGGGATCACATATTATAGTGTCTTTTAAATGGAGATTTTTAACATGATTCAACAAAATTATTCCCTCTAAGCTTTTGTTATTATTTAAATTTTATATGCTAGTTCAACTAAAAATTATTGGACTTCCTAATGTTATCCTTAATTTTTTTCTTTAATATTATTTGTTAGACAAATATGTGCCATCTCGCTCCACTAGGCACTACCAGGACTCTTAATTTCCTGTCTGAAGCCAGGAAAGTTGAGCAAGAACCTTTGCCAGCTTTTAACTACCACTTAAGATTCAAGCCAATTCATCTTGAACGATGCCAAAATATTTTTGACTTCTTAAGATATAGAAAGTCTGAAAAAACCAAGTAAAAAACTCTTTTCATTAACTAACAAAGTCATAACTTTACATTAAATACTTGACTTTTTAAGCTTCAAAAACATTTGTGTAGTGTTAAATTAAGATTTATTCAGCTTTTTACTTGGTATTGAGACTTTAATTGTTCTTGAAAGATGGAATAGAACAATTAGATCATTGATTTAGTTAAGAGATCTGCTCTTCTTTGTACTGAAATTGAATGTATGACATCCATGTTGCTTTTAGTACATGAAAATAATACCATTAACAATATATAACATGTTAAAAATGATTATTAATTACTTTTAACTTAGTAATGAAACATTACTAAATGTTGTACTACAGTTTTCAGATGCAATATTTCAGTTACTACACAAACATAGAGTATTTTTCACAAATATTGGCTGAGCTATGATGTGAAGTAGCAGGGATAAGTCTATATGAAGGATACAGGTTCTAAACCATGTCTCAGGTTGCCGTGACAGACACTTTCAGGTAATGCACAGTTCTTGGCAAAGATTATCTTATCTGAAATGTAAAACTACAACTTTCAATATCTTAACTGTTTATGACAGATGGCCAGATGGCTAAGTTAGCAACTTACTGCTCCAGGGACCCTGGATCAAATCTGGATGGGTGGAAAAACCCCAGGAACTTTTTCGGATGATCTGTCTGAATACATCAGCACACGTCCCTCACGATCTGGCTATCTCATTTTGGGTCTGGCCAAACACATAATGGGCTTTCATAGTGCACACAGGGAGAAGAGTTAAAAAATAAAAACAAATGTTTGTAGTATTTGACTCTGTCTGGCTATTCATTTCTTTCTTTGAGTAGCACTAATTTTTATACCTAAAATTTCTTGCTTGTGTGTTACTTGTTTGATAATTTATATAAATCAAGTGAAATTTATCATCATCTGTTAATTAATGAGAATTTACTTAATACTTAAATAATTATTTAAGTTAAATATTGATNTAAAAATTACATAAATAAATTATTTAAATGATTTTATAAAGGTAATTACTTATTATATACTTATTTAATATGTTAATGAATGGTAGCATATAACGGAACAAAAGCATTTTTCAAAATATGTATCGATCCTAAATGTGTCGAATGAGTAGAAGGCAAGAATTGTAATCTGTCCGAGATAACCATTTGAGATACGGATTCCTTCGGGGTTGTAAGTTTTATCGTTTGCTCGCAATTCTGTATTTGTTCCATCGTAAGAGATGTCGGATAACCGAAATTATCGGTTTCTTTTCTGAACTTAATCCAAGAAAGAATGGCTTCTTCTTTATGATTAAGAAATGCCATAAGCAAGGAAGAATTGTAGGCCACGTCAGTATTTCCTGTAAGAAAATTTGTTTTATTGATATCTTTTAAAAATCTACCGAAAGTGAAGTAGGTAACCAAGATAATTATGATGGGAGTGAGTGGATGAGTGTGAAGATGCAAAAGATTATGAGCATAAGAGATGTGTGAAAGCATACTACAGGAGAGATGAAGCAAAGATGGAAGGATCTTGAGAAATCTGATAAATGAATGAGCAATCCCTCTTTTGCCTGCTGCACCTTTTCTAGGTACAGTATATATGAAGTTTATCTGAATCAAACTCATATAGAGGTTTTTGAAAAATTAAATAATTGCAGTTTTTGTTACATAATCTAAAGTACATAAAAAAAATATAAATATTTAGAAATACTCATACCTGAAAAACAGGAAAGAGAAATTCGAAAGAGTCGCATTGCTTCCTCGTAACGATTTTTTAACACACACTGTACTCCAAGATTGTTAAACACTTGAGATCTTAGACACATAATTGCTAAATTTTCCCTTGGTTCTTCATTATTTTCTTCTTTTTTCTCAATTTCTAAATATAAATAGTTATTATAATTAGTGTGTAAACTTTACATGTAAATTCTATATGTTATATATGGCATGCTTAATTTTAGATATTCTAACTCCAATTTTTAGACAATGTGATGTCTTCCTTTCAGATTTTCAAGCCTCTCAATTGTAAAGAAGGATTGAAAGGCTCAAAAGTTTATAAGATAAGTTTATGATCGACTGCTCCAATTAGGAAGGATTTACACGAAGTTTGAGACTGGAAATTCCATTACAAATGTTGAATTTTAATCCAACAAACAGATTATACTTACCATCAATTTTTATTCGTTTTGCACGATTATGTATTGTGTGTGTATTCATGCTGGATTTTGTCTGTAGGATGATGCGTAACCTATAATAAAAAAGAAAATATATATTAAGTGTATTGTGTGTGCATAAATAAAATCTGTATCTTATTCAACACTCATTTCAAGTCACGTGATGCTAAACTATAAGTTATGGAAATTTCAATTTTATATTATAAATAAACTTGTATTTCATTAAATTCTCATAAAATATAGATTTTTTCTAATGTGCAAACATCAGAATTTATTCCATGAAAAGTAAACTTAAAATCACTCAAATGTTACTTAATGTACTTCAAATGTAATTGTTATTAATCTAAAAGTAATTATAATTTATTAATAAATACGTCTTCCATTAATTTTGCCCAGTTTTCTTCCTTTTAAGGAACAAATAACTTAAAATAATATCAAAATCATCAGAAGTACTTTAAAAGAATCAATTATTATTCATTAATGAACATTTTCAAAGTTTCTTTGCTTTATTGTTAGATCACCGATTCAAATTTTGTTCTTTTATTCTTATCTGCAGGATAAAAACAAAGTGTAAAATTTCAAATTAATCTGAAGATGAAGCAAAAAAGTTTTTTAAACAGTTATCTGCCAGTAATAACTAACTCCTTCAAAGTTAGTTTGACGATATATGTAACTTACACTTAATAATACATTAACTTAAAATGTCTTATTTAAACTTTGGCTTAAATGATGCTATGATCAAAGACATACTAAATAGAAATGTACTAGTATAAATTAAAATGGCATATTATGAACTTCATACTGTGATATCCATCATTATGGATTCTTTATCAGTTCTTAAATAATCATTTTTATTTTTAGAACTGTTAGAGAGTTCTCCAATATGAATTTCACAGTTTGAAAGTACAAGGAAATTGTGTTTCATTGTAATAGCTTGTTGATTTTGCATGTATATTTAGTCTCCAATAAAGCAGTTTGAGATTCGTAATATGAATGAATTGGAGTATTGACTATGTAAATTTTTAATTAAAAATGAATTTTAAACTCAGAATAATGTAAAATAAGTTTGTATATAACACAGAAACTGATGAATATTATGTAAAATTGTATAAGGGTAATTCTCAATGTACGTGGATTTGTTCAATCAGTACAGGTTTTGGTTAGCACGGATTCGAAAATTCAATGTTTCCAGCTTGGCAGAGCTCAGAGAAAGCAACACTAAATTGACTCCTTCTCTCCACTAAACTGAACCATAGTTTTCTTAGTGCAGTGCTCTTATTTGAATAGTTTAATTTCTATTTTCACATTTAGTATAATTTCTGCAAACATTTCACTTTTAATTCTTCAGCTTTTATAGAAAATTGTGAAAAAATAAAGAAAACAACTGTGCAGATAATGCTTGATAAATATTTTGCTTGGTTTTTAAATTTTAAATTTGATTTCTGCATTTTCCATCTAAGTGAAAATAAATATAAATTTATGATTTTAGATGACAGCTCAATGTCCTAATTCGAGAATTAATTCATTTTTCACTGATTGTTAACTTTGATATGATACTTTTATAAAATACTGTATTTACTCGCATATAAGACGACCTCACATATAGAACGAGGTGTGACTTTAAAGACCAAAATAAAGAAAATTCGATTTATTAACACAATTCTAATTTTATTTAATTTAATCACAAGTAAAACATCAAATGAACGTAAATGCACACATTGTCCTACAAAAATTACTGGCATTTTAAACTTTAAGGAAAAATCTTGTAAAATTGACATAATTTGTTCATGTAAAGCTGGACAATCGGAAACCTTTTTTGCCAATTCTTAACAGTCAAATCCACTCGCCATCGATTACACTTATGAATTTCTCCGAATTCTGATTTCCGAATAATCATCTGTTTTCACATGGGAATGGATTAAAACTTATATCGTGCTCATATATAATTTTGGAATTTCAATCTGGAATTCAATTCAAAAGCTTTGCTTTTCCTATTGCTATTCATCTTTACTCCTGACAATATACAAGAACGATTGAAATGATCCAGATAATATACTTATGTTTTTAAATACAAGAGAGCAAGCATCCGGTAAAAAATGCAAATACACAGTTCAAAAAATTATTTGCAAACATGTAAAGAATCCTTCACTCGTGCGTATAGGATGATCTAGGAATTTGAAGCTGTGATAAATGAATAAAAAAACTTGTCTTATATGTGAGTAAATACGGTAAATTAATCATGTATATTGAGGTTTTGTGTATTGTATTTGAATGATATTCATGCAATATTACAGTTATGAGATCACCCTCAATGTTTTTTGTGTCTTGTAATAATTATTTTTGAATTTTCATACATAAAATGGAAAATAATATCAATCACTATATTAAATTTTGTTTTGCAAGCTACATCATCTTATAATAAATACAAATATTTATAAAATGAATGAATCATAAGAGGGACAGAATATAGACATTTTCTTCAGTTTGTAATTAAAAGAGCAAGTTATTAAGTATCTGTATCAATTTAATAACAAGATTTTTAAATATAAAATTACTTAAATAAAAGTGAATTACCTTTTAAGATCAAACAATGCATGTTCTTTATCATTTACATGATAATAAGCAGATGATCTCATCATTAATGAAATTACATCAGATGATGTATTCTCTAATATCCTAATTACTTTATCATCATCGATGCATAAAGTTTCAAATTGTTTTTTAGAATCCGTATAACTGGAAGCTTCGGAATTAGAAATATTTTCTTCCAACAAATCGTCTTTAGAAGAATAATCTTCAATTAATTTACTACATATTTCAATGCATCTTTTGTAATTTTTAGAGTGCAAATGAGCATATGCCGCTTGATGATAAATATTTGAAAGTTGAAGGAAGAAATTACTAGATACTCTGTAACACTATAAAATAAATTACTTTGAAATTAAACTGTACATAAATAACTTAAAATACTTATAAAGTTTAAGAAAATGAATCAAATCTCCACAATTAATCTTTTATTTGTAATTATATACTAGATCAGTGGTTCTCAACTGATGTTCTACAAACTTACCTTGAGTGTTCCATGAATAAAAAAATATTTCAATGTTTTTATTGCAAATTTATTCCAGAGTTCAACAACATATTACTTTATTTGTAAACAATTCCATATTTCTATTTTATTCAATACAATAAAATTTATTAGTTTATAGCTTCATTGTTTTGTGAAACAATAAAAATGAAATCGCTTATTGATTTTTGAATGTATTGATACTGTATCAATACATTCATGTATTTTTTACTGCTCTTCATAATAAAAAGTAATGAATGATGTTCCTCAGAACAGTTGAGAATCACTGTACTGTACTAAAGGTTTACTTGCAAGAAGATTTAAAGAGAAGGCCCTGTGATCCATTGTGAGAAACACTTAAATCTTATACATTTATTTACTCCAAACTTGAAGTGTTTACTTGCAAGCAAACTTTTCATTTGTTCAAACTATAAACAAATTTAAAGATGATAAAAAACTTGCCATAGCACAAACAAACCTGATTATCATTCTTCTCTTCTAAGACCTCTAACAAATGTGTAAACCATTCTGCTGATTTTTCATATTGTTCTCTTTCTAAAAGATGTTTAGCTATCATATACAGTGATTCTACATGAGTTACATCTGCATTGTAAGGATAGGGATGTTGAATTTGATTTGCTGTAGCCTGTAAAGTTAATTATATTATGAACGGATTAACATGGAAAATTTACGTGCTCTTTTTACAATTATATAATCCAAAATTACAAATAAAATAGAATGTTTTAAACTTTAAACAGAAATTAACCTTAACTAGAAGCTGCAAAGATTCAATCTCCTGATCAGGTTGTTTTAATAAATGAAACTCAACAAAAATATTTTTTAACGATAAATAAAATGTTTCATCTTCGTCAATTGCTTGACCAAACCATTCCATGGCCACGTGATGTTTATTCTGTAATATTAAAAATAAAATTTAAATTATTTTATGTTTTAATTGCATTTACAGATATAATATTGCATAAAAATATTTCTTAGCTATCGAACACTTGAGAAAACAAATTGATTGTTATGAGAAGTTTAAGTAAAGACGTGGATAGATACTAAAAGGAAATGCACCCCACATTTAAAGTGAACTGAAGAGATAGAGGAGAAGATACTATCACCTGATATTCCTGATTCTTATAATGTTTTCTGGATAAAGATGATCGAATATACATATCCAAACTTAAGGATGAATGCAATTATTAGAGGTGATAGCTAGCAATATTTCAAAGGGTTGGAATGTGTTCCAGGCATAAAGCAGGAGGTTGCCCTCACTCTATGACTGGATGTAGAGACTTACATTTAACAGTAACAGCAAAACACAATCAATGTGGCAAGGCCAATCAGCTTGTAAGTTGCCGCCATTCCAGTACAGGAGCAAGAATATCCCACTAAACTGTGACTTGCAGCTGCAAAAAGTAGGGTTATACTCAAAGGCCTATTGTCTGTGTACCTTTATCCAGAGAGCATTATAGTGTGTGTTTGCAGTGGTGTAAAATACAGGCTATTCACATATAAATGTTGTTTGTCCTTAAGTTTTGGACATGTGTAGTCATTCAATGATAAGAATGTTTGAAGAAAGGCAACTTCATAAGTTTATAATAGCTATACAATAAGCTAAACTAAGAGGAGATCATTTGTTGGAACAAATATTAAATGAATAAAACAATTTAAGTTTAAAATGATTCTAATCTAAATTGGAAATAGCTTCACTTTAAGAATCTTAAGGTTTTAGAGAATGCAATAAACTTTATTTTATTTATTTATAATTTCTACATTGACTAATGATATAAAGCAGTTGGAAGCATTGATCATTATTGTAATAATTTAAATAAAAATGAGAAAATTTTGTATTAAGAGGAATTTGGAGGAAAACTTAAAGTTGCATTAAAGATATTACACACTAAGATTTTAGATATGGTTAATTTCTAATAGATTAAGTTAGTGCATTCAGCAATAAAATTTATAATGTCCATAATACATTAGCATCTACAGGATGGGCAAGAAATATCTATGCATTGAGAAATCACTATAATTTCTATATTTCTAACACAAAGATAATGAAAATTATTTGACACATCTTATTAAATGAAAATACAGATACATACCTCAACATTATGTACTCAACTTCCTCAAACAACCAGGAATGGAATTCACAACCTTTTGCAGGAAGTCATGAGGAATGTTGGTGGTAACATCTCAAATCCATACGTCCAATTCTTCCAGTGTTCAAGATTTCATTTGGTACACCTCCTCCATTGTCCAGCCCAGAGGAAAAAGTCACAGGGCATGAGGTCTGGACTTACCTCATGAATGATTCCCAAGAAATCCAAACCTCATGCCTGTGGAGCTGGGCAAAGAAGGCATACGGAACAAAACCTCAAATTCATGCAGAAGGCTGCTTGATACAGTTGGTAGATGGTGCCAGTGTCAACAGTGAATGTTAAGGTATGCAACTGAATTTATGTTTAATAAAGTACAAATAATTTTCATCATCTTTGCAATTGAAGTATAGAAATTATAACGATTTCTCAATGCCTACTTATTTTCCACCCATCCTGATTATATTGTAAAGTGTACAAAAGTGTACTTTTAACAATATAATCAGGGTAAACATTAGAGAGATGATGAATTAGATTTAACACAACATGATGGCTTAATGCCTATTTCTAATCCAAACTGCTTAACATTTCATTCATTATTAATCAGCATCATAGTAACCTAATAAGAATCTAGCTGTAATGTTTGATTAATAAAGGAGACTATAAACATGTTAAAGTTTTAAAACTTATACCTAAAATTACATGTATTTACACACAAATATTTGTTGTAACAATGTTTTATTCACTTAGAACATTTATAATAGCTTAGTTAAAGCATTTCTATCTAATTTATATATCAAAGGATCATTAAAATTAAAAGTTTAATAAACCTTACAATGGTTTGTTTGTAAATGGCAATGTAACATGAGTGATTTGTTGAAGGAGGAATCCTCCCAGAAGGACTTTCTGTGAAAAACTGGTCCTTATTTAGGTGTTAGAAACATGAAGAAAATCCAGAAAACTCCATGTGGCCAGCCCATTGATGATGAGCAAACTCACAACCAACTACCAGTGTTCAATGGTTTTATCCACTCCAGAATAAACCTTATAATGGAAGTGTTGAAAATATAACAATGAAAGTTTAACAAACACTTTGAAATGTTCCTATAAAATCTTTATGAATATTAATATATTTTTAAAGTTAAGGTAACCTCTTAAAGTTATATATCAACGTTACGCTATCTGGAACCTGTGACCGGTGCTCTATGCGTGTATATTGTATATCGCTTGACAAACGTTTTCGAGCGATCTGTTCACTCTTCTTCAGGTCGACTGAAAATTCCCTGGACGGAGTGTATATTATTAACCGGAAGGAAGAGCTAACCCTGTCTCTGGCCTGGCAATCGCTGTTAGATGCCAACCCACCGCTTCCTCCCCCACCACACAACCGCGCATGCCAGAAATGACCCACCTAGTCAGAACCGACACCCAATCCCAACAAATAATATACACTCTGTCCAGGGAATTTTCAGTTGACCTAAAGAAGAGTGAACAGATCGCTTGAAAATGTTTGTCAAGCGATATACAATATATACGTGTATAGCACCAGTCACAGGTTCCAGATAGTGTAACGTTGATTTCACCCCGGTGCTGAAAGTAGAACAGTTCCTATATTTTAAAGTTATATATCTATAATATTTTTAGTATACAGTATTTTCTTTACCATATCCGAGAAACAGCATCCAAGGAGATTACATATTCTTGCTTTCAGCCAATTTTCAATGCAATTATATTGATTTTTCCACACTTCGTGAGCAATATTTACAGCTTCAGATATTTTTCCTACTTTGTAGGAAGAAACAGCTGTTTAAAATTTAAATATTAAAATTCATTATGAAATTTTTTTTCTAAATATAAAGAAATAAACTATTTTAAAAAATTATATCTTTACAATAATAACCTTTTAAGTATTGAAGAAATGGAATATTGCTTAAGTGATTCAAACGTTTGCACGCCTTCAATGATTTCTCGAAATTACCATTCATCGAGAGGCAGTAGACGTAAGTAATTCTGATGACGTCTTGCCATTGTGTAATGGGCAGAGTACTGCTTGATGTCTTCCAATATAATTTAACTGTTTCCTCCTTTATAAAAATTAAAATAGAATCTTAAATAGTACAGTTTAATTAAATACATATTTTTAATATTTAGATTAATGTATTTATTTTTATCTGAATATTTGACTTAGTTTGAACAAGAATAAAAGCAAAAAGAAGGGAAAAGTTCCACATGTTGATTTTTCTTAACATTCTCAAAAGCTCGAACAGTTGTTAGAAACATGCCACTTTTACTTACTCCAGCACAATAAAATTTAATGGAAGTACAAACATTTTCAGCTACTTTTAGAGCCTTCATCAAGCGAAAGAGCCATTTTTCAGTTGAAGGTAACTTATTCAATGTGAAAAAAATGGCTCTCTTGCCTGAAGGCCCCTAAAAGTAGTCGAAAACATTTGTGCCTCTATTAAACTTTATTGTGCTGGAGAAAATATAAATGATATGCAGTGTGTTAGTGTCTGTTCATTTTATATCTCAGGATGAAACAAAGATAAAGAAATGAAATTTAGCTTAACTTTTAATATAATAAACTTTAATATTTAGGGGATTGGAACATAGAGGAAATCACATATTATAGTGTCTTTTAAATGGAGATTTTTAACATGATTCAACAAAATTATTCCCTCTAAGCTTTTGTTATTATTTAAATTTTATATGCTAGTTCAACTAAAAATTATTGGACTTCCTAATGTTATCCTTAATTTTTTTCTTTAATATTATTTGTTAGACAAATATGTGCCATCTCGCTCCACTAGGCACTACCAGGACTCTTAATTTCCTGTCTGAAGCCAGGAAAGTTGAGCAAGAACCTTTGCCAGCTTTTAACTACCACTTAAGATTCAAGCCAATTCATCTTGAACGATGCCAAAATATTTTTGACTTCTTAAGATATAGAAAGTCTGAAAAAACCAAGTAAAAAACTCTTTTCATTAACTAACAAAGTCATAACTTTACATTAAATACTTGACTTTTTAAGCTTCAAAAACATTTGTGTAGTGTTAAATTAAGATTTATTCAGCTTTTTACTTGGTATTGAGACTTTAATTGTTCTTGAAAGATGGAATAGAACAATTAGATCATTGATTTAGTTAAGAGATCTGCTCTTCTTTGTACTGAAATTGAATGTATGACATCCATGTTGCTTTTAGTACATGAAAATAATACCATTAACAATATATAACATGTTAAAAATGATTATTAATTACTTTTAACTTAGTAATGAAACATTACTAAATGTTGTACTACAGTTTTCAGATGCAATATTTCAGTTACTACACAAACATAGAGTATTTTTCACAAATATTGGCTGAGCTATGATGTGAAGTAGCAGGGATAAGTCTATATGAAGGATACAGGTTCTAAACCATGTCTCAGGTTGCCGTGACAGACACTTTCAGGTAATGCACAGTTCTTGGCAAAGATTATCTTATCTGAAATGTAAAACTACAACTTTCAATATCTTAACTGTTTATGACAGATGGCCAGATGGCTAAGTTAGCAACTTACTGCTCCAGGGACCCTGGATCAAATCTGGATGGGTGGAAAAACCCCAGGAACTTTTTCGGATGATCTGTCTGAATACATCAGCACACGTCCCTCACGATCTGGCTATCTCATTTTGGGTCTGGCCAAACACATAATGGGCTTTCATAGTGCACACAGGGAGAAGAGTTAAAAAATAAAAACAAATGTTTGTAGTATTTGACTCTGTCTGGCTATTCATTTCTTTCTTTGAGTAGCACTAATTTTTATACCTAAAATTTCTTGCTTGTGTGTTACTTGTTTGATAATTTATATAAATCAAGTGAAATTTATCATCATCTGTTAATTAATGAGAATTTACTTAATACTTAAATAATTATTTAAGTTAAATATTGATGAATAAAATATTTAGACAATTTTTTTTATATTTAAAAATTATAAATTTACATCTGCTTACTTCTTCATCATCACCTTCATCGTCAGACACACAATTTTTTAATAATGAGGTTACAGATTTCAATAATAACAAAGCATTATTAACATCTGAATGTTGTATAAGGAACCAAGCAATGGTGCAGAAAAATAACAATGCTATTTTCTTAAGGTCTTTCAACTCTGAAATTAAGAAAAACTTTAAATTCAAGCTTAAATATGAAGCTCAAGCTTGCTAAATATTTACCATTTAAATGATGTCCAATTCCTTCTATAAATGAGAGAGCAGTAGTAACATCAACTGAACCTGAAGTTGGTTTTATAGAAGTTGCTACATAAAATACTGTTTAAAAAATGAAATTTAATGCCCATATCTATTTCAATTTACTATTTCAAAAATTAATAATGAACAGTCAGCAATAACTAGTCATTTTGAGACTACTCTGAGTCCATCTTCCAGTACAATAAGTTACAGTAAGTTTTAAAAAGTTATCTGAAGATGGAACAGAACAGTAGAGAAAACATTAAGTTTTTAAAGTGTAACTTCCTTAATTAATTAAGTTATTTTAGACTGTTTACGATATAAATGCAGTTCTAAATGAGGCAGTTGGAAAATTATCAGAGCTGTATACTATGCCCCTAGGAGTAAAAATCAAAGAAATTGATGGTCTACATGTGATACTTTATGAGATATAGCTTCCTGAAATCATCCTCTAGAATTTTGAAGACCCTCAAAAATGGGTTAAAATTTAAAAGTGAAAAAATCCAGAACTATTTCTCAAAACAATGCTAAAAATAAATTGTTTTCCACTTTACTAGAGATGGCTAAAAGCTCTTAAAACACAAAAAACACCATTGCACAGACTACTTCTGGGGCACGATTGGAGTCGCACTGCATGCTCCATTAAGACTATTGCATGTTTAACAAGCAGCCAGTCAAGATATTACTGGGTTATATCTTCCAAAGGGTTGCATGTAGACCATCTGTTTCTTTGAGGTGTTTTACTTTTAAGAGTATAATAAGGTACCAACAACCTCATTCAGAGCTACATTTGTACCCTGTACATTATTTATCATATAATGAATAAATAATAATTAGATATTGAAAATTGAATTGATAAACCACTTACACTGCTGTAAAGTTAGTGTTATTTGCTGCCATACTTCATTTTTACACAAAGTCTTTATTTTACTTTCACCCTTCAACAGTAAGAAATTTAACCAATTATGTATTATTATTATTTCCAAAATTATAGATTCTTTTGTTACAGGAACACCTTAAATTAAAGATTTACAAATTAGTAACATTTAAAAGTATTAATATTAACTTAAATTCTTATAGATTACCTCTCACTTGAAAACAAAGATGTTGAAGTTGTTCTAATAGAACCAGATCATCTTTCTCTTCAGTTTNGGAATTAGAAATATTTTCTTCCAACAAATCGTCTTTAGAAGAATAATCTTCAATTAATTTACTACATATTTCAATGCATCTTTTGTAATTTTTAGAGTGCAAATGAGCATATGCCGCTTGATGATAAATATTTGAAAGTTGAAGGAAGAAATTACTAGATACTCTGTAACACTATAAAATAAATTACTTTGAAATTAAACTGTACATAAATAACTTAAAATACTTATAAAGTTTAAGAAAATGAATCAAATCTCCACAATTAATCTTTTATTTGTAATTATATACTAGATCAGTGGTTCTCAACTGATGTTCTACAAACTTACCTTGAGTGTTCCATGAATAAAAAAATATTTCAATGTTTTTATTGCAAATTTATTCCAGAGTTCAACAACATATTACTTTATTTGTAAACAATTCCATATTTCTATTTTATTCAATACAATAAAATTTATTAGTTTATAGCTTCATTGTTTTGTGAAACAATAAAAATGAAATCGCTTATTGATTTTTGAATGTATTGATACTGTATCAATACATTCATGTATTTTTTACTGCTCTTCATAATAAAAAGTAATGAATGATGTTCCTCAGAACAGTTGAGAATCACTGTACTGTACTAAAGGTTTACTTGCAAGAAGATTTAAAGAGAAGGCCCTGTGATCCATTGTGAGAAACACTTAAATCTTACACATTTATTTACTCCAAACTTGAAGGATTATATTTGAAGTGTTTACTTGCAAGTAAACTTTTCATTTGTTCAAACTATAAACAAATTTAAAGATGATAAAAAACTTGCCATAGCACAAACAAACCTGATTATCATTCTTCTCTTCTAAGACCTCTAACAAATGTGTAAACCATTCTGCTGATTTTTCATATTGTTCTCTTTCTAAAAGATGTTTAGCTATCATATACAGTGATTCTACATGAGTTACATCTGCATTGTAAGGATAGGGATGTTGAATTTGATTTGCTGTAGCCTGTAAAGTTAATTATATTATGAACTGGATTAACATGGAAAATTTACGTGCTTTTTTTACAATTATATAATCCAAAATTACAAATAAAATAGAATGTTTTAAACTTTAAACAGAAATTAACCTTAACTAGAAGCTGCAAAGATTCAATCTCCTGATCAGGTTGTTTTAATAAATGAAACTCAACAAAAATATTTTTTAACGATAAATAAAATGTTTCATCTTCGTCAATTGCTTGACCAAACCATTCCATGGCCACGTGATGTTTATTCTGTAATATTAAAAATAAAATTTAAATTATTTTATGTTTTAATTGCATTTACAGATATAATATTGCATAAAAATATTTCTTAGCTATCGAACACTTGAGAAAACAAATTGATTGTTATGAGAAGTTTAAGTAAAGACGTGGATAGATACTAAAAGGAAATGCACCCCACATTTAAAGTGAACTGAAGAGATAGAGGAGAAGATACTATCACCTGATATTCCTGATTCTTATAATGTTTTCTGGATAAAGATGATCGAATATACATATCCAAACTTAAGGATGAATGCAATTATTAGAGGTGATAGCTAGCAATATTTCAAAGGGTTGGAATGTGTTCCAGGCATAAAGCAGGAGGTTGCCCTCACTCTATGACTGGATGTAGAGACTTACATTTAACAGTAACAGCAAAACACAATCAATGTGGCAAGGCCAATCAGCTTGTAAGTTGCCGCCATTCCAGTACAGGAGCAAGAATATCCCACTAAACTGTGACTTGCAGCTGCAAAAAGTAGGGTTATACTCAAAGGCCTATTGTCTGTGTACCTTTATCCAGAGAGCATTATAGTGTGTGTTTGCAGTGGTGTAAAATACAGGCTATTCACATATAAATGTTGTTTGTCCTTAAGTTTTGGACATGTGTAGTCATTCAATGATAAGAATGTTTGAAGAAAGGCAACTTCATAAGTTTATAATAGCTATACAATAAGCTAAACTAAGAGGAGATCATTTGTTGGAACAAATATTAAATGAATAAAACAATTTAAGTTTAAAATGATTCTAATCTAAATTGGAAATAGCTTCACTTTAAGAATCTTAAGGTTTTAGAGAATGCAATAAACTTTATTTTATTTATTTATAATTTCTACATTGACTAATGATATAAAGCAGTTGGAAGCATTGATCATTATTGTAATAATTTAAATAAAAATGAGAAAATTTTGTATTAAGAGGAATTTGGAGGAAAACTTAAAGTTGCATTAAAGATATTACACACTAAGATTTTAGATATGGTTAATTTCTAATAGATTAAGTTAGTGCATTCAGCAATAAAATTTATAATGTCCATAATACATTAGCATCTACAGGATGGGCAAGAAATATCTATGCATTGAGAAATCACTATAATTTCTATATTTCTAACACAAAGATAATGAAAATTATTTGACACATCTTATTAAATGAAAATACAGATACATACCTCAACATTATGTACTCAACTTCCTCAAACAACCAGGAATGGAATTCACAACCTTTTGCAGGAAGTCATGAGGAATGTTGGTGGTAACATCTCAAATCCATACGTCCAATTCTTCCAGTGTTCAAGATTTCATTTGGTACACCTCCTCCATTGTCCAGCCCAGAGGAAAAAGTCACAGGGCATGAGGTCTGGACTTACCTCATGAATGATTCCCAAGAAATCCAAACCTCATGCCTGTGGAGCTGGGCAAAGAAGGCATACGGAACAAAACCTCAAATTCATGCAGAAGGCTGCTTGATACAGTTGGTAGATGGTGCCAGTGTCAACAGTGAATGTTAAGGTATGCAACTGAATTTATGTTTAATAAAGTACAAATAATTTTCATCATCTTTGCAATTGAAGTATAGAAATTATAACGATTTCTCAATGCCTACTTATTTTCCACCCATCCTGATTATATTGTAAAGTGTACAAAAGTGTACTTTTAACAATATAATCAGGGTAAACATTAGAGAGATGATGAATTAGATTTAACACAACATGATGGCTTAATGCCTATTTCTAATCCAAACTGCTTAACATTTCATTCATTATTAATCAGCATCATAGTAACCTAATAAGAATCTAGCTGTAATGTTTGATTAATAAAGGAGACTATAAACATGTTAAAGTTTTAAAACTTATACCTAAAATTACATGTATTTACACACAAATATTTGTTGTAACAATGTTTTATTCACTTAGAACATTTATAATAGCTTAGTTAAAGCATTTCTATCTAATTTATATATCAAAGGATCATTAAAATTAAAAGTTTAATAAACCTTACAATGGTTTGTTTGTAAATGGCAATGTAACATGAGTGATTTGTTGAAGGAGGAATCCTCCCAGAAGGACTTTCTGTGAAAAACTGGTCCTTATTTAGGTGTTAGAAACATGAAGAAAATCCAGAAAACTCCATGTGGCCAGCCCATTGATGATGAGCAAACTCACAACCAACTACCAGTGTTCAATGGTTTTATCCACTCCAGAATAAACCTTATAATGGAAGTGTTGAAAATATAACAATGAAAGTTTAACAAACACTTTGAAATGTTCCTATAAAATCTTTATGAATATTAATATATTTTTAAAGTTAAGGTAACCTCTTAAAGTTATATATCAACGTTACGCTATCTGGAACCTGTGACCGGTGCTCTATGCGTGTATATTGTATATCGCTTGACAAACGTTTTCGAGCGATCTGTTCACTCTTCTTCAGGTCGACTGAAAATTCCCTGGACGGAGTGTATATTATTAACCGGAAGGAAGAGCTAACCCTGTCTCTGGCCTGGCAATCGCTGTTAGATGCCAACCCACCGCTTCCTCCCCCACCACACAACCGCGCATGCCAGAAATGACCCACCTAGTCAGAACCGACACCCAATCCCAACAAATAATATACACTCTGTCCAGGGAATTTTCAGTTGACCTAAAGAAGAGTGAACAGATCGCTTGAAAATGTTTGTCAAGCGATATACAATATATACGTGTATAGCACCAGTCACAGGTTCCAGATAGTGTAACGTTGATTTCACCCCGGTGCTGAAAGTAGAACAGTTCCTATATTTTAAAGTTATATATCTATAATATTTTTAGTATACAGTATTTTCTTTACCATATCCGAGAAACAGCATCCAAGGAGATTACATATTCTTGCTTTCAGCCAATTTTCAATGCAATTATATTGATTTTTCCACACTTCGTGAGCAATATTTACAGCTTCAGATATTTTTCCTACTTTGTAGGAAGAAACAGCTGTTTAAAATTTAAATATTAAAATTCATTATGAAATTTTTTTTCTAAATATAAAGAAATAAACTATTTTAAAAAATTATATCTTTACAATAATAACCTTTTAAGTATTGAAGAAATGGAATATTGCTTAAGTGATTCAAACGTTTGCACGCCTTCAATGATTTCTCGAAATTACCATTCATCGAGAGGCAGTAGACGTAAGTAATTCTGATGACGTCTTGCCATTGTGTAATGGGCAGAGTACTGCTTGATGTCTTCCAATATAATTTAACTGTTTCCTCCTTTATAAAAATTAAAATAGAATCTTAAATAGTACAGTTTAATTAAATACATATTTTTAATATTTAGATTAATGTATTTATTTTTATCTGAATATTTGACTTAGTTTGAACAAGAATAAAAGCAAAAAGAAGGGAAAAGTTCCACATGTTGATTTTTCTTAACATTCTCAAAAGCTCGAACAGTTGTTAGAAACATGCCACTTTTACTTACTCCAGCACAATAAAATTTAATGGAAGTACAAACATTTTCAGCTACTTTTAGAGCCTTCATCAAGCGAAAGAGCCATTTTTCAGTTGAAGGTAACTTATTCAATGTGAAAAAAATGGCTCTCTTGCCTGAAGGCCCCTAAAAGTAGTCGAAAACATTTGTGCCTCTATTAAACTTTATTGTGCTGGAGAAAATATAAATGATATGCAGTGTGTTAGTGTCTGTTCATTTTATATCTCAGGATGAAACAAAGATAAAGAAATGAAATTTAGCTTAACTTTTAATATAATAAACTTTAATATTTAGGGGATTGGAACATAGAGGAAATCACATATTATAGTGTCTTTTAAATGGAGATTTTTAACATGATTCAACAAAATTATTCCCTCTAAGCTTTTGTTATTATTTAAATTTTATATGCTAGTTCAACTAAAAATTATTGGACTTCCTAATGTTATCCTTAATTTTTTTCTTTAATATTATTTGTTAGACAAATATGTGCCATCTCGCTCCACTAGGCACTACCAGGACTCTTAATTTCCTGTCTGAAGCCAGGAAAGTTGAGCAAGAACCTTTGCCAGCTTTTAACTACCACTTAAGATTCAAGCCAATTCATCTTGAACGATGCCAAAATATTTTTGACTTCTTAAGATATAGAAAGTCTGAAAAAACCAAGTAAAAAACTCTTTTCATTAACTAACAAAGTCATAACTTTACATTAAATACTTGACTTTTTAAGCTTCAAAAACATTTGTGTAGTGTTAAATTAAGATTTATTCAGCTTTTTACTTGGTATTGAGACTTTAATTGTTCTTGAAAGATGGAATAGAACAATTAGATCATTGATTTAGTTAAGAGATCTGCTCTTCTTTGTACTGAAATTGAATGTATGACATCCATGTTGCTTTTAGTACATGAAAATAATACCATTAACAATATATAACATGTTAAAAATGATTATTAATTACTTTTAACTTAGTAATGAAACATTACTAAATGTTGTACTACAGTTTTCAGATGCAATATTTCAGTTACTACACAAACATAGAGTATTTTTCACAAATATTGGCTGAGCTATGATGTGAAGTAGCAGGGATAAGTCTATATGAAGGATACAGGTTCTAAACCATGTCTCAGGTTGCCGTGACAGACACTTTCAGGTAATGCACAGTTCTTGGCAAAGATTATCTTATCTGAAATGTAAAACTACAACTTTCAATATCTTAACTGTTTATGACAGATGGCCAGATGGCTAAGTTAGCAACTTACTGCTCCAGGGACCCTGGATCAAATCTGGATGGGTGGAAAAACCCCAGGAACTTTTTCGGATGATCTGTCTGAATACATCAGCACACGTCCCTCACGATCTGGCTATCTCATTTTGGGTCTGGCCAAACACATAATGGGCTTTCATAGTGCACACAGGGAGAAGAGTTAAAAAATAAAAACAAATGTTTGTAGTATTTGACTCTGTCTGGCTATTCATTTCTTTCTTTGAGTAGCACTAATTTTTATACCTAAAATTTCTTGCTTGTGTGTTACTTGTTTGATAATTTATATAAATCAAGTGAAATTTATCATCATCTGTTAATTAATGAGAATTTACTTAATACTTAAATAATTATTTAAGTTAAATATTGATGAATAAAATATTTAGACAATTTTTTTTATATTTAAAAATTATAAATTTACATCTGCTTACTTCTTCATCATCACCTTCATCGTCAGACACACAATTTTTTAATAATGAGGTTACAGATTTCAATAATAACAAAGCATTATTAACATCTGAATGTTGTATAAGGAACCAAGCAATGGTGCAGAAAAATAACAATGCTATTTTCTTAAGGTCTTTCAACTCTGAAATTAAGAAAAACTTTAAATTCAAGCTTAAATATGAAGCTCAAGCTTGCTAAATATTTACCATTTAAATGATGTCCAATTCCTTCTATAAATGAGAGAGCAGTAGTAACATCAACTGAACCTGAAGTTGGTTTTATAGAAGTTGCTACATAAAATACTGTTTAAAAAATGAAATTTAATGCCCATATCTATTTCAATTTACTATTTCAAAAATTAATAATGAACAGTCAGCAATAACTAGTCATTTTGAGACTACTCTGAGTCCATCTTCCAGTACAATAAGTTACAGTAAGTTTTAAAAAGTTATCTGAAGATGGAACAGAACAGTAGAGAAAACATTAAGTTTTTAAAGTGTAACTTCCTTAATTAATTAAGTTATTTTAGACTGTTTACGATATAAATGCAGTTCTAAATGAGGCAGTTGGAAAATTATCAGAGCTGTATACTATGCCCCTAGGAGTAAAAATCAAAGAAATTGATGGTCTACATGTGATACTTTATGAGATATAGCTTCCTGAAATCATCCTCTAGAATTTTGAAGACCCTCAAAAATGGGTTAAAATTTAAAAGTGAAAAAATCCAGAACTATTTCTCAAAACAATGCTAAAAATAAATTGTTTTCCACTTTACTAGAGATGGCTAAAAGCTCTTAAAACACAAAAAACACCATTGCACAGACTACTTCTGGGGCACGATTGGAGTCGCACTGCATGCTCCATTAAGACTATTGCATGTTTAACAAGCAGCCAGTCAAGATATTACTGGGTTATATCTTCCAAAGGGTTGCATGTAGACCATCTGTTTCTTTGAGGTGTTTTACTTTTAAGAGTATAATAAGGTACCAACAACCTCATTCAGAGCTACATTTGTACCCTGTACATTATTTATCATATAATGAATAAATAATAATTAGATATTGAAAATTGAATTGATAAACCACTTACACTGCTGTAAAGTTAGTGTTATTTGCTGCCATACTTCATTTTTACACAAAGTCTTTATTTTACTTTCACCCTTCAACAGTAAGAAATTTAACCAATTATGTATTATTATTATTTCCAAAATTATAGATTCTTTTGTTACAGGAACACCTTAAATTAAAGATTTACAAATTAGTAACATTTAAAAGTATTAATATTAACTTAAATTCTTATAGATTACCTCTCACTTGAAAACAAAGATGTTGAAGTTGTTCTAATAGAACCAGATCATCTTTCTCTTCAGTTTGGTTATTATTTGCTACTGGTGTTAAACTTCTGTTTTCAGCTAACTTAAATTATATATATTTTTTAATTATTTATGAATAATAATCTAAAAAGTTTACAAAATTAAAAATATATTTATTGAAATTTAAAATATTTAGTACCAAACATAGTTTCATGTGCAAAATCTAAATTAATTGTAAATATTGTAATAAAAACTGAAAAACGAATATTTCTATTAAACTTTGCTGTGATTGTATAGTCAACTAGACATGTTTCAAGAGCACACATAAGTCAATATCAATACTCATACTGGTGTCGACTTCTTAAATGTGCCATGAACATGTAATATCAAATAAATGTCATCATAATAATTGATAAAGTAATAACATTGGATTCGGTGATACATACTGTACCAGTGTATAGTGTGCGTGAGTTATGTGTACATGATAACTTCAAATACGCAAATACTGTATGTAACTGTATGTTCATCATTCACTGTTCGTTCGTACGCAACTACAGTTGCTATCGTAACAAGTAACGTAAACATTTTTTTCATTTATGTGACAATATCTGACATCAAATTTGACACTAATACTGAAGAAAACAGAAATGATTTTTTGATGATAACCAAACAGATGAAGATATCAATTTAACTGGTCAAGCAGACTTTAAAATATATATATTCAATGTTATTTGTGACAAAATTTTTAGCAAAATTGATACAAAATACATATAAATGTATGAAGAAATTAACAAAATATCTCAAAGTATTTTTTAAAGAATTTGAAGATTAAAAGAATGTATCAAATTATACAAGTGAAATAAAAAAAAATTTACTTCAATGACATTGATGTTGAAGAACCAGATGAGCTGACAATTTATTTTAATGGCGACAAAACAAAGTTGTGAAATCCAAACAATATGTAGTACCAGTTCATAAAAAATAACAAAAAGTGCATCTTCTTTTCTTAATACATAAATAATGTTAAGAATTTACTTAACTTTACCTGTAAGTAATGCAACAAGAGAGAGAGATCTTTCTCTGTTTTAAAAGAAGTTAAAAATTATTTAAGAAATTCAATAGGACAGGAAAGGCTAAGGTCTTTAGCAATACTTGCTGTAGAAAAAGATATACTCGAAGGGCTACATTGAAAATGTATTATTGAATATTTCTGATATGAAAATCCGAAAATAAAAAATTTAAAGTGTTTAAAGTCTGATTAATGACTATAATTATGCATATTTTTTGTTATACCAGAAACTCTTTTGCTATAGAATTAGTATTGTATTAGCATTTGTATTATCTCTTATTAATAAAATTTTAAGTGACAATATTTAAGATTTTAGAAGAAAGCCAATTTAAATTTTGTCTAGGGCCCGCTAGAGGCTTAATCCAGCACTAACTCCTAAACATGTGACATCAGTAATATCTGTTGAACAGCAGTGCATTATAGCTTCATGGGACCTAGGCAAATTTGAATTAGGGATCCCACATATAGTGCTGACTTCTTTGGAAGAATATTTTGGGGAAATATTTTATTATAAAAGATTGGCTTGGGCCCCAGGCAATTGCTCTTTTTGTCCATAGGATAATGCACCACTGCTATTAAACATGTAATATCGATAAGAGTCAATGATGTGTTATCAAACTGATATTACTGTAATGTTAACAGTACCAGGCAATGCTATATGTTTATTTACTGTATAGATATTGATGTAATAATCTTTATCCCTTCTGACATAATTTTTAAAAAATAATTTCTGAAAGGATGTAGTGATGTTGTATACTTAATTATAAATTAAGAATTTAAAAATACACAAAATTAAATTTGACAATAAGAACATATACTCACTAATAATTTACATAATAGAATATTATGCTGAACTGACCATTGGGTAAAAATTAAATTTGTTTTATTTAACTTTCTAAATCTGCCTGAGGTGCTTTTTGAAGGCAAATTATTCAATAATTCCTCCAAATATTGTAAACATTTAATATATTTCCCTTTCTTGAATTGTATTTCGTATTCTTTAAAATATTTCTCGTCGTCTTCATCGCTGCTACTCATTTTAAATAATATAAAAATATCAAAACAGCTTTAGTTTGTTTACAAACATAAATTACAACGCAACAGAACAGAACACGTGGTTAAAATTTCCCTCCTACCAAATTACAACGAAACACGTGGCCAAAATTTCCGACCTACCAAATTGCGTTCGTAGAAAATTCGCCAATATCCTTTTTCTTTCCCTCTTTTTGAAACTTTTTTTTACAATGTTTAAAATAAATAATAAATTAATAAATTAAATAAATATTATTTATTAATACTGTATTACTTCTTTATATATATGCAGTTAGAATTTACAAATGTAATTTGATTAACCCGAGGCATCGGACATTGATAAACAATGGATATATATAAGAAAGCCAATGACATAGAACGTTTCATTTGAAACGGACCATTGGTTTGCTTATCAAGCTGTATTAAAACCACTTTATGAGGTAACAAGCAACGTACGGTCAACCATTCTTACACTAATTAGGAATGTAGCCTGGGTGGCAAAGGCATCAGCCTACTCTTCTGAGATCGAATTCGAGAGAGCAACCCCAGAAATTTTTCGTGGGTGATCTGTCCCTGATGTGGCTGGCCCTGACTCTCATCACTAAATTGTCTTTATTGTGGGCCTAGCTAAATTTAAGATGAACATAGAAAAAAGTTCTCTTAATGCCAGCAAGGATGAAAAAGTAAAAGAAAAATCATCCACTTGGTAGGACTTGCCTCTAATGGATCATCATGGATGAGGAATAGGAACGATGTCCCAATCCGTACTGCATACAATAAATTACGGAGATTTTTATCAATTTTGGCTCTTTCTGCTCTGTGGGCACTAATAAGGGCATTTTTACCCAACATGGATTCGGCTAGGTCCACGAATAATGGTGAGGGACGGGGCCCGTGTATCCAGGACAGTCTGACCATGAAAACTTCCTGGAGAATTTATCGGCCAGAATCGATTATGGATTTCACAGAGCGGTAGGTTTTTTTTAACTCTTTCCACCCTGTGGGCACTAAGAGGGCCTCTTGTTTTAGCAGGCCCATTATAGGTTCGGCCAGGCCCACAAGGGGGGCGACCGGGTGGTGAGGGACGGGGCCCGACATATCCAAACGGGCCACCCCCCGAAGAATTCCTGGGCATTTTCCCATACGAATTCGATTTCAGATTTCCAGAGCAGTAGGCTGGCTACCACCTTAACCGCTCGCCCATTCAGCCTTCGAAAAGGCCTTTATCATGTCGTCATCGATTTAAACTGGAGGGCGAGGGTTAATTAAGGTGTGTTTGGGGGGGTCTATTCGAATAAACGCTTGAAAATTTAAAATAAAATCGAATCTCCGACGTATAATGCATTAAGCGTTGTTGGTTGAAATCGACTCTTCACCAATAAAAGCATCACTCTTACCAATACTCTTCACCAATAAAAGCATAGCTCTGAAAAGAGCCGTTTTATTGCTAAATTACGGGAATCTAGCAATTGCAATTCCGATTCTGGTTGAAGATTTCCGTTCTATTGACGCCCTGTTCTTTTTCTGCTGCCATTACTCCTATCTGAACTCCTCTTTCTCCCCTTGGATCCTCCTCTTTTCTTCCTCCTCCCCAACCTTTTTAATTTCGATCGTCTTCTCCTGGCTTTGCTGGCCTTCGATATCTTCCTAGATGTGTTCTTTCGAGTTATCCTGCTTCTTCCACGTTTTCTTAGGATATTTCCTCGTATATTTCTGCTGAAGTCGTGGAGGGAATCCTTTAAACTCCGAATCATTTCTCGGTCGAAAGGAGTCATTTTCTTTAATTCGGGGGCTCGAGTTTCTTCTTTTCTTTTTTGACGATCGTCCATAGCGTTGTTTTTCTTCTTCGGAATAGAAGCAGAATGACGGAATTCGACGTTTCGAACGATGTTTAAAGAAACGATTCCGTTCTACAGCAAATTTAAATACGATTTAAAATTATTATATTCTTTTCGAACTTGCTTAATCTCGTATTTAGATAGTATTACTTCCCCTCTGTTACATACACATAACAAGGTAATGTATTGTAATCGTACTAAATTTGATCCTCCGAGTTTTCTGCAAATCTCCACGTTTTGAGACACCTGAACCCCAAAAAAAGTAAAAAACAAATCCAGCAACGAGTTTTATAACTTTTCCGGCTGTTATAACGTTTTATTTAAATTAAAACCTTTATGTTTTTAATCATAATAAATAAAATTAAGTGTGTCGCTATCTGTTATGAGACTTTATTATAAAAACTTTTCATATTTTTAATTATTATAATATGGCAAAAAGTTTAATGTATAAATTATTGGAAATATTAATTAAATGCTTTCAATAAGTTGTATTAAAAATATATAAAACACCAATTTTAAATATATTTATTAAAATTTTTCTTCTTTCGGTTTATCTCCAAAGGGGTGAGGTCTACAATTGTTTGGGGATAAGTTCTGATCTATTTTGTTAAGCATCTGACACGCTTGCATATTACCATAAAGATCATAATTTATTACAGTTAATTTACTTTTTAGTCACATTTAATTATACAGAATTTTGAGCAAACGTAAATATAATTAATTAAAATATTTATTTAGTTATTAACAAAGTATTTTTATAATAATATAAATTTGTAATACAAATTTTAAATTGGTAATTATAGCTATAGTTTGAATGCGTACTTTGTAGTAAATAAATGAGTATTAATTAAATTAATTAAAACATTTCTTAAGGTTTAAAGTAATTAAAATAAGTGGAAGAAATTATTATAATATTATAATCAATTATACAATAAAAGAAATTGTATATAATAACATTATTCTCCATATAATGATACTGAAAAGTAACGATAGAATTTTTCTTTACTTTCATTTCTGTGGGCACATTACGTAAGATGGCCTTTTTCCATGCCCACAATGGGGATGACTGGGTAGGGAAGGACAGGCTTGACGTAATAGAACAGAACCACACCTGAAAATTACCTAGGGAGTTGCTAGCCAAGATTCGATCCTGTGTCTCTCATAGCAGGGAGTTGCTAGCCAGGATTCGATCCTGTGTCTCTCATAGCAGTAGACTAACTTCTTAACCACTCGGCCATCCATGCAACCCGATGACATAGATTAGATGCACATGAAAATTAGTCACTAAAAGCAATTTATTTTAAAATTGTTTAAATTAATGTATTAAATTGAACATTATACAATATATTGAATCACCTTTAAAAATCTCCATTAAGAAATTTGAGTATTTAATTGCTATAAATGCAAACAAGCTTCTAGATAATAATAAATGTACGTGGTATATGCTATGAATGTTACCCATATTATATCAAAAATATATGATGTTTTTGGTTTAAAAAAAATTAAATATTTGGATTTTACGCAATAGAATGCTTTATGTGTTTCTATTTAATTTAAGGTAGCAACATGTGTTTTTACTTATTCTTTCATGGCATAATGTTGACTTACAGACATAATACTCTACCAGAATCATTTATGTATTATATACAGTAAGTACAGTCGATCCCTCCCTATAACACTGTTGATTATTCCGTTTTATATGAATTTTATGTTGTACAAGTCACTTAGATTTTACAAATACGTGAGCCGTTTACAGCCCGGCACACGTAAGCAAAAAGCATCGCTTATATTGAATTTTATTGCTGAAATATGTTAGTTGAATACGATGTCAATGAAAACTTCATCAGAAAAAATGCCAGATAATTTGATAAAATCGATTTTAAAAAATGAGCAATTCTCTTCAATAACTAACTTGGCATTCGATATATACATCAATAATTATTATAAAATAATTTATTATTGTATTTTCCAGTACTTTAAAATCATAACATGGCATTTAACCGCTCAGTACGCTGTAACTCAGTTCTACGATTCAAAAAAAAATATTTAATGTGCCAAGCTTTATGAAATGACTATAATACACGTGTTAATGGGAGAAAACATATCTTCATAATAAAACAGTTAATATAACTGAAAACAGTAAAATCCAGTTGCAGTACGTCACCGAACTGCTACCACCCCAAAATCGTGTAATTGTCTTCTTACGCTTCTTACTAAATCGATTTTTTCCCTTTTTATTCGTCTTATTCTTAATTTGGCGCTTAGAATTGAGTGCTTCGGGTATTAGCATATCCTCAATTCTCGATAAGGAACCATTATTTGGGAGTGCTTCGATACCCAACGCTTTGCACATGACATTATAATGATCTGTCATTTGAAGTGGTGGTGAAATGTATCCTTTCTTGAAAGCTACAGTAGAAATTATGCTTATATTAATTAAAATAAATAACTGAGTAGTGTTACAACTATTCAAATTCATACCTGGCCCTCTGGCATATAAAATAGTTCTCATTTCTTCGTATAAATATGGGTCATATCCGTGATAACCTTTGTATATCCTATCAGAAAACGGCTTCATTTTCATTCTTTCCGAAAGCTACAAATTAACAAATGCATTTAATAATTTAATATAATTTATAAGGTTAAAAAGAAATAAATTTATATATAATTTTTCTTTTATTTTAAATAATTTACCGATTGTATTAGATATCCTTTTTCGGCTACTAAAACAATAGGGAATACGAGTCGGTGCTTGTAATGATATATTTCTGGCATTTCTTCCTTTTTGTATACTTTCAATCCTTTAAAATTTCCTTTTTTTAAGTCGTTATATACCTAAAAATTATCGTACGTTAATTCTTCGATTACGTATATGGCCTATATATAAACAATATAAGACTTACAATAGATTTAAGTGTTTTCGATATACATACACTGCATACATCGAAGCAGCAAATAGCTGATAATTTATGCTGTGAGCTAAATTACAGTTGAATAAATACTTTCTGATTTAGTTTGTGAGCGTGTGCCTGTGTGTGTTTGTCTTCAATGGCGATTTATCCTATAGGGAATTGCTTGAAGCCTCCACCAACAGAGGACCCCTAAACCAATCTTTTATAAACACCTTACTGTAGTAAGAATATCAAAATTTAAATTTTGACCATATCTGGATCTAGATTGCCGGTGTGGCTCAGGGTGCACTGGCGCAGTGCAGAACTTAACCTGCTAGAGATTGCGTTAAAAAACGAACGAGGATACCAAGGAATTCCCCAAAAAATTCCCCGAAGAAAAATGTTTGAAGTCAACACTGTACATGTGGCCCCCTAATTCAAATTTGCCTAGACCCCATGTAGCTATAACGCGCCATTGTGTCTCTGTGTGTGTCTCGAAAAAACTGTACGTTTTACTTAAAAGTAAAGATTTAATTTGACTTTTACTTATAATGAAACACGAGTTGTTATCACGAAAAAAAAATACTTAATAATTGATTTTAACGTAATGTCAGGTCTTGTGTAATTTGAATCTTAATTTAATGCTCAGAGGTATTACCACTAGTCTTTTTTGGCTCCTGTTTTTATTAATAAAAACTAAGCATGGTTTCATGAGCACAGTTTGTTTTTGCTTCAGTTAGTTCTCATTTATTTAATAATTCGTCAATGACGCGTTACTTATCGAGCTAAATTGATCCCTCTGAGATCCATCGTATTCTGATGGATAACAAATGTTATTTCCTACGTTAATAATACTGTTATTTTAAGGAATAACAATATTGTTTTATTTAGTTCACAAAGAATATAGACAAACAGGATTAGGTTAAGTGACGAGTAATATGGCGATAGAATGTTTACAGACACTACTTTAAATTACGTAATTTTTCCGCGGACATTTAATTATAGGTTCGAGTGTACCGCGAGATAAAAAGAAAGATGGAAAAACACTGGTTTAAATGATAAATTTTCCAAAATCTCGATACACTGCTGTTGCTGTAATCATCCTAATAGTCTCCTCTTAATGCCTCTTAAATATATCTGTTACTAGCAGGTGGGCCTGGCGTTGTTCGGGCAAAAGTAACGATAACTAAGATAAAGATTATTACGTTACAGTCAACCTTACCCGTTTTTACAGAATGCAAGAATTGGGTCCCCTTGTTTCCAGACTAATTAGAGAATTTTTAGATGGGTCTAAAAATATGTTCGATTTCTCGCAAAAACGAAAAAACTGCATCTGCGTCTTGCATGTCGCTTTCTCTTAATAATTCCATTGTTACGTAACAATTCCATTGTTGACACTTCCATTGTTACTTAACACTTCCATTGTTGATGGAAGTGTTAAGCCTTAATCCTGTCCCTCTCCCCCGTGGGGAGGAATTTCGAAAAATCCCTTCTTAGTGTGCGTTCTCCTATCGTACCCTAATTGTGTACCAAATTTCAACTTTCAACTCCTAACCGTTTGGGCTCTGCGCTGATTATAATTATTATTATTATTATCAACTCGTCTCGATTATATATTAGATTAAAATTTCTTGCTTACCCCAAAAACATATATTTCGGATTGGGTGGGATTAGAACCAGTGTTTATTGAAATAGGTAAGTTCGGATTTCATCGAGCACCATACATATGAGTACTCCCAGGGCAGATTTAGGGGTGCTCAGAGTACAGTTACATCCCCTTCTGAGGGTTTTTCCGAATACCTCAGTTAGTAAAATATTTTGTAAGGCATATTGTGTTACATAATATAATTATACCACATTTTCTGCATTTAATTAGCATATTGTACTACTATCTTACCTCAATCATCCGAAAACCCTTGTGGATCACGAGTAAATAAGATAGTCACGAGTTTAGACTGTATAATTTTAAATAAATAAATAGATAAATATAATTAAACCTTATCTTCTTTTCCTTCTTTAGGGAGAATCATGGACATGGGACCATGATCGAGCATAAGATGAATATCGTCAAGTTTTATGGCACTTTCGATTCGAATTATCTTTATATCTTGATTAACAGGCATCATTCCATGGTCCGATACGATCATTAGATTTACCTGAAACAGGAAAATATAATAATAAACTTTGAGTCAAACTTGTTTACTGAAAGCTTCCTTCTATACTAGAGCCTGAGAATATATATGTTGAAGAACAGATAAGAAGATAAAGAAAGTAACTTTATAAATATAGAAGATGTTAGTGATAAAAAGAATATGTTAGTGATAAAAAGAATCATCAGATTTCCTCTTTATCTCATGGAGGAAAATGAAAAACGCATAGTTAAAATCATTTGTATCTACAAAGAAAGATTTAGGAAGCACATTATTCTGTATCATATAATCTTTCCAGATAAATTATAAAGTATCAAATGGATTCAAGGAAAGACTTGAAAAATTATTCAAAATTAAATAAGTTAATAAAATTAATTAAAGAAGGATAAACCGAGCATAGAATATCAAAAATATCGAATCGAAATGCATTTAAGTGTTTCATTTGAATGGTGGAACACGTCAACGCAACACATGGGCAATCTGCCAAGGGGGTGTTCCCAGTGAAGACTTTCTATGGGAAACTGATCTCCATTTAGGTGTTACATACGTGAAGAAAACCCGGAAAACTCCACATGGCCAGCATGTTAGTAAGGAGCGAACCCGCGACCAACTACAGTACCAATGCCATTGGCGCCAACTTTAAAGATAATATTTATCTTTAAACTTTGCGGAACCGACATTATTGGAAGATGAACGGATTCCAATCCTTTACAGTTGGAGACCAATTAGTTTTTAGTGTTTTTATGAAATCCAAAATTATATGTTGTTACTGTTAATTTCAAAGAAACTTATAATTTGATTAGGCTATCTGTGTTAGTTTCTTAATCTATTCTGAATAAACATATCATATTTTAATACGTTTAATTTACGAGAAATACATAAATATGTAGCATGAATGCCAAATATTGATATATATGGGACTATTGACTTACTTCGTTTTCGAGGTTTCGCCTGTTGATCTCTTCTTGAAGAGATAGAAGAATTGAATCGATATCTTGCAATGCTTTCTTTCTTTCTTTAGAATTAGGCCCTCTAAAATGGCCTTAAATAAAATAAATTTCCATATTAACTATAATAATTTGTGCCATTATAAGTTATTTACGAGTTTATTAAAGTGCATTCTAAGCAATCTAGGCTCTCAAATTCTATCATATATTAGCGAAAATACTTACCATTTGCATCTACAGCTTCATAATATACTAAACCTAATCCGTAATCTTGGTTTTGAAACATATCCAATATCTTAAATAACGCATCTTTTGTATCTTTGTTAACTTTACCCCAAATCCAATAATTTTCATATTCTCTACAGAAAGACGGTTTCTTTCCACGAATAACTACTTGGCATCCATCCCACCAGTACATTGCAGTTTTTATACCATTTTTTTCAGCTGTGATCCATAATGGTTCCGCGTAATTCCACCAATGGGCATGGGAAGCGTTGGAATGAAGAGCCATCAAGAAAATATCATCTTTCTCTTTGTCGTACATGTAATTTTGTACTATTCCATGATTTTCGGCGTACAAGCCTATAATTTAAATAAAAATATTTCATTTTTAAATTTTACATACGGTTTTAAAAGTGGCAATGTGAGATATTGTCGGACAATACGTAGAAGGGCCGGGTTTACGGATCATCCTTTATTCTTTCCCCTAAGAATTACCTTAGAAAATTATCTAATTTTTAAAGTAATTTGTATTTCTTTTTAATATATTAATTTAAATTAGGATTAAAATTAAATTTCATAGTCGAAAATATTAAAATTCTCTTTCTACAATTAAAAAAAAAAATCTCATAAATTAACCATTTCAGAAGGGATAATAAAATTTAATTTAGCCTAAAATATATTACTTTTGGTCATGAAATTTAATATTAAAATTATATTTTTGTTATAATAAACATTTAAATTCTATAAAATTTACAATAACATTATACAGAATTAGCCAAAATCTAAATTAGAAAGTCTGTCGTGTGTGAACCGCTTCTAAGTGAAAGACAATGGTGAACACTTGGCACATTTAAATTTTAACCTCTTTCTGTGTTTTTTTTACGTTTGTCTCATATAAATATCACTGTAAAACTTTCTTAAGCGGGTCACTCTATACATGAAACGTAATATAAAAAATACATGGAATAATAATATATTCGTTTATTCAGGCTGATTCATAAGTCAGTACACGTAGGCAAAGGACTCAATTTATTGTTTAAACACTCGTGAATCATAGGATACAGGTCCTACGCTGTATAAATGCGATTTAATCCAATGCACATCTGTATGCATTCCTCTTACAATAGAGAGGTTGCGGCCGACGTTTTCAACGCGAAAACGTGTACGTCGGACGTACAGCACCGCTTTCCTATAAGCCTAGAAGTTTGACAATGGTGTTTGGATAGCCAGTGGAATCATGACCGACGTCCCAAACACCATTACCAAACTTCTAGGCCTTTAGGAAAGCGGTGCTGAACGTCCGACGTACACGTTTTCGCGTTGAAAACGTCGGCCGCAACCTCCCTAATATATGCAGACTAATGTTTATTGTTAAAAAAACAAACACACGCATCATAAATGTGAAGACTTTTGAATTACTCTTGTACAACCACCGTTTATAATCCAGTTTTATGCTAAATTTCACGAGTAATTCTACAGAAAATTTAAATATTTTCGATGTTTCCTTATAAAGCAATACACTGAAACACATATATCTTCCACTATACAATGTATTGATTAAAATATAATGGAATGCCTCATAAATATAGCGTAAATTATTCATAAATATATATATATAAAATTTCGTGTGACAATTAATTTTACTTTCGTTTCTACAGCTTACCTGTAACAATTGTATACCAATTAGGATAGGAGTTTGTAGGAAATATAGGTGTAACGTAATTGGCCTTCATCCCATTTTTAGCAATCATCTGAAATCCCGATAGATTACTATCATTCATATAATCCCATCTGACACCATCTACAAGTATAACTAAGAGTTTGCCAGGGGAATACGAAGCGTAACACACTCCAAAGCACAGTACCATAAAAAACAGACCAAAACGGTATATGTGCGTCATGACTGTAGGAAAATTAAGAATTAACAGTTAAAATATACTCAGTTTCTAATATTTAATGATTACAATTCAACTTGCTTATTGGTCGGTAAACTTTAGGAGGAATGTTACGTCAAGTAACATTGTGCGCTGACACAGTTAACCGCGTGATGGAAACTTGTAGTCGCTTTAGGAGTAAATTTAAGTGAGAGTCTAGTCGGTACCAGAAAGGAAAGGAGTTATTTTTATTCAGGGGGGTATCTGACCCTATTTACTCGATCTAGGTTATAAGGGAGAGTTGCCTCAGGGAAGGTCAAACACTCTTCAAGAGGTTCAATCATGTGGAGATGTAACGAGACACAATTGTGTAGGGAAAATTTGGTAAAAAGTGAGAATTTTATTACCCAATTCTTTATATTCATTATTATTATTATTATATAAATACAATATTTTGGTGTTATTGATTCGTTTTCCCTATAGAAAGTTGACAATAAACCCATTTATTGTCAACTTTCAAACTGTCATTGTTAAGGTTTTTAACAATGAATATTCATTAGAAAAATAACAAAAGAATTAAATTTTTGTTAATTTTGGGTATTTTTTATAGTGTTTTTTCTATATTTTCGGGGTTTATATATTAATAAAAGAATATTTTTAATAATTGAGTTTCGGGGTTACGAGAAAGGAGGTAGATTTCGTTCTCACTTGTGATCTAAACATGGGGAAACACTGGAAAAAATACTTATATGATACTAATTTTTTAAAAATTTTATCCAATAAATGATGTTAATAATTAATTATTTTCATATTATTCTGTTTAAAAATCTTTTTAAAATTCATAAAATTCGCTTACAAAATTAAGCTCCTTGTTAATAAAATGATGCAATTAATAACGAAGAATTAATTTATACAAAATTATAAAAAATTAAGAAGGAAGATAACGAATCCTGTACACAATCGAACTTCCCAACAACGGCCACGAAAACATAAGAAAATAAATAAATAAATAAATAAAAAAGGCCGTTGTTGGGAGTGGCAGCTGTTTGTAGAATTGTATGAATTTTCCTCCAATTTTCCTCTAATGCTCTTGAAAAAGTGGCCTCCATTTACAGGTGGTCGTTATAGAAGGTTCATAATTCTGAAAATAATTTATTCATTGCTAAAAATAACGAAGTGTAAATGCCCCATCATAAAGTAAAATACGAGGAAATGTATTCGGTTTGTGTGAGAATCGAACCCACGCTTTTAAGTGAACATCATTTTTTATAGGGCTTCATTCTCTATACAAGCTGTAACTTTGGGCCTCACAATTTTACATGTATCATTTATTTGGTAGAGCGAAAGGGCCTCCTGTTATATGTTATAGCTTAGGCCCACAACAAGTCTGAGTTTTATCGCCTAAATAATTATTAAAATGATTTATATATGAATTTAAAATGTTTATTGATAAAATAAATAAGTTTTTATAGCGTTTAATGAGGTATTATTAATATCAATTTTAAATTTAAGTTTTATCATCAGCAAGACCTAAAGAAAAATGTTAAGAACTTCTAAAGAAACGTGGGAAAATTACAGTAATTACAGTTCATAAATATAATCAGAATTATATTTAAAATATAAGGTATATTTCCTTATGATTTCTGTTAGAAGTAACATTCGATAATTATAGAGTATCGAGAGTTATAAATAGAAGCTTTCATATGGCTCGTCTTAGACTTGTTGTGGCCCTAAGCTATAATTCATAATAAGCCCTTCCTTTCTACCAAATAATAATGCATGTAAAAATGTAATGCCCTAATAATGCGAGGCCCTAAGCTGTTGCTTGTTTAGCTTATTGTACGAATCTGGTCCTGAGCTTTTTGAGTTCGAACAAAGTCTATATGTAGCCTATATAATTAAAGCCTTAGTCTCTGTATTAAAGCCTTAGTCTCTGTATTTGAAGCCTTAGTCTCTGTATTAAAGCCTTAGTCTCTGTATTTGAAGCCTTAGTCTCTGTATTTGAGCCTCTGTATATAATTAAAGCCTTAGTCTTTATGTATTTGAGGCCCGCACAAAATGGTCCATCTCTAAGTCTCTTAGAGATGGACCATTTTGTGCGGGCCTCAAATACAGAAAGGCCTCAAATTTAAGTAAATTACGTTAAAAATATGAGGAGGAAGTGATTTAGATTAAATTAAGTCTGTTTTTAATATGTTTTATTCGTATAATTTGGTATCTTTGTAGAGAGAAGAGCTCTATATTTGTAATTGAATGATAATCGTCTCACTTTAAGACAGATTTTTAAATAAATAATTATAGCTATTTAAATATAAAAACTTGGTTTTTCTTATATTTTTTTTATTGTTAATTCTACAAAAATATTTAAATTTTTTACTCAATTTAAACCTGGAGTTCAATGTTACACACGTATGTAAAGGAGGGTCATTAAGATCTTTTCCCACGAACCCAGTACATAGAAAGAAAGAAGTTAAATTAAGTATTTTATGTAAAAAATGATAATAATAAAAAAACATAACAAATTTTAACACTATTAAGATCTCTTTAAATTATTTTTCTTTTCTAAAATTAAATCATTAAAGAAGTATTATCCCTTATTTATTTCTTTACACGAAAGTTCCTTCTTTAAATTAATTAGTTACTATAGAAAATACTATTAGTTCCTTGTAGCAGTTTTAAAGGTTAAAACCCTTAAAACTCTCTTCAATACATTACGTAAATCTTAGCAAGTAAATTGACCCCTTTCTAATTCTAACCCCCTTAAGCACTTTCAATACTTTATTACTAAAAATTACATTTTATTTTAATTTCTACTGTATTTTTAATAATGTTTTTACAAAATTACGAAACATATTATTGTTTTTTTAAATATGAAATTAGGAAATTTTATATTATTAATATCCCTACAACGAAGAACAAGTTGCATAATGTAACTATGGAATGGTGAACGACCTGGTCAATTAAAAGCACTGTTTTCCTCGTGTTAACCTTAAAGGAAAAGTTAATTTATATATATATTTTCGTGATACAAAACAGAATAAATGAATTGTCTGAGGCATAAATAAGTTATTTTTATGATTCATAAATTCAAGATGCTGCTATGTTTAGTACCAGTTACCATGCTATGTGCCTTTCACGTGTGTAAGAAATATCGCTTATAACGTTACAGAATTGAATTATGTATAGGAAAATATGTGATAAATAAACTATATACACCTTCTTTCATTAAAAAATATTAATTTAAGTTCAATATTTTAATAAAAATATGTAAATTTTTATACATTTGTAAAGGCTAGAGAATGATTTATACGTAGACTAAACAGCACAGGTCTTTAAAAAAGGTACTTTAAAAAAAATGAAGAAGAGAGGCCTCTTATATTATAATTTAAGTCCAAAAAAGCCTAAATTATGCTCTGGAGATATTTATATATTATATCAAAGTATGCTACATAAAATAATTAAGCTTACCTTTTATATAATTAAAAAAAAAAGGTTTATACATAAGCTACAGGCCCCAAGCAACGAGGGCCTCATTTTAGAGAGGTAAAAGGCCTCTTATATTATAATTTAGGCCCTCAAGAAGTCAAAATTAAGCCTTAAAGAAGTTATTAATTGTATCATTGTATACAACATAATGCAATTGTTATATATACATTCACAGCAGGATGAATAATAAAATTATGATAAAATATATAAAAAATAGAAGACGTAAGTTATATTTTTATTAATAAAATTCAATAAACTCTATAGTAAATTTTCATAACAAAAGAATAAGTCGAGGAAGGAAGACAAAATGGAGGTTGAAGTCCTTTTTTACATAAAGAGGAGATTGAAGGAAATTTATGAAAATTGGGAAAAGTTCTAAAAAAAACTGACATTAAAATAATATATATTTTTTGTTTATCTTCCTATTTTTATTTTTTATACATTATTTTTAACGTTTTTTTTTTAAATTTATAACAGATATCAAATCTAAAGCGAAGTTAACGAAGCGTGTAATTGAATGCCTTTTCCTCATGTTTTTAATGTATTTTTTGAAAAATTTCGATTATTGAAAGCTAAATAATCAATTTTGGGATAATGGCCATGCTTTAAAATTCGAAAAAATTAGTATAAAAATTAAAAAATGTCTCGCTTTTTCTAATCTTTAACACTCAGAACGTATCGATAATTAGAGTAATTTTTGATCTTTTCTTTTACGGCAGATAACTATGGAAAATTAATATGATTTTACATGTTTTAATGAGAAAAATTAACATAATTTATACATTTTAAAACGAGATTTAACATAATTTATCTATTTTCATGTATGGGAAGTTAATATTACTTATCTCTTCACTGATTAGATATGGCGTAAATGAGCTGTGAATGGAGCGATTTACTGACAAAAACGTGCCAGTAAGGAATTTTAAGATGAATTAAAGCGAAAAACAAGTAAAAAATCCCCTTAAAACTTCAAAAAATCTATAAAAAATATGAAAAAATTTAAGTTACAAGAAGCATGTCAATGACTTTTCCGTTGATTCATTTCGATGTGAGTGCAAACTACCACTAAATTGGGCGTGATTGAATCCACTTAACACCGATTTTACCAAGAAAAACACTTTAAAACACAAGTAAAAAAAAAAATACAATTTTTAGTAACAAAATACGCGAAATAAGTGCCAATTCTTCATTAATTGCACAATGGATCGCATTTGAATGTTTGGCATGCACAATGGATCGCATTTAGTTACGCACACAAAGAATTTAATCTGACTATCGGATAATATAAAGATAAAATTCTGATGATCGAATATAATCTGAAGTTAGAAAACACGATAAAGTGACCCAGAAAACGATCATTCAACGTTCTTCAACAAGCGATAGCACTACAGGTGCATTGACCTAACACATTTCCCTGTCGTTGGGTTACTTGGTGAACTGTCTCCGCCACAGAAAGTAGAGCTGTTCACCTTCGACCATTCCAAGAATTAGAGGTCTTCTATACCTTTAAATTAGATAAATGGGTTAAGAATTAGTTTACCTCTTGAGAATTCTCGAAGAATTAATTGAAACTGTAGTCTTGTTACAATACAAAATATTGTTACAATTGGCAAATGTTTTCAAAAAATGGCTAAATTAATGGAATACCACCTTGCCTCATAAGCTACCTCCTTGCCTCATAAGCTACCTTCTTGCCTCATAAGCAACTTTCTTGCTTTCTAATCAGTGCTGATAATGTTAGGAAACATCAAGCTTATTTATCAGATTAGATTTATGTTGAATGCCACCCTCGAATGAATTAATTTCTATAGGAATTTTCGCAGAAATACGTGTCTTCAAGAATTAACGCATGTGAACATGTAAGCTAATGTGAAATCTACACTCACGTTCATCTGAGTAATCTATAGAATGGTTGGATAGAGAGAAAATATAAACATCTACACGCATACACATACTCAGACCTTATCATAGAAAAAACCAGCAGGGCTACTTACTTACGTGGATCACTTATTTAAAAAGGGCCCACGAATTTGTTACACATTATTATATTGCATTTCTCGTATATGGAGAAAAATAACTCTATTTTTTTTTTGTCAAATATTAGTATTTAAAATATAAAATACAATATTGTTTTGCAATATACTGGGGCCTCAGTTTAATATTGTTTAATATACTGGGGTCTCAATAAAGGCAATTCACCCAGGACTCTTTCGAACTTTGAGGGACTTTGCACATGTGCAATTCACACATAACAGTGGCAATATTAAGTAAAGGCCCGAATTAAAACGTAGTAAAGGGCTACTTCCTTGCCTCATAAGCTACTTTCTCGCTTTCTAATACCCTTTACCACTGTGGATGAAGAATATATAGTGCATTGATTACATTCAAATCTTTTTCCTGTACTTATCTGATTTTTTTCTTTATTTATTTACTGTAGGTGGGCCCTAGACCCTTGGGTTCCTCTCTGGTTACGCTGCTGCACACACACACAAACATGTTCTATACATAGAACCGTAGTAATGCATGGTCTTACTCGTCATGGTCGGGCCTTGTCTTTTTTGGGGCCATATCTCATTGCTGACTACTAATATTTTTCTTCTATATTTGTATAATACATCCAAAGAAATTGGGCCGGAGCCTCAAAAGCGGTTAAAACTGCCCGGCACATATACAAACCCATACACAAATCATAAATTTAGGCTATACATAGAAAAATTACAGCTAACATTTATACCAGGGGTGTCCAACCTTTTTGTTTTTCTGGGCCGCATTGGAAAAAGTCAAGGAGTTTTGGGCCACAAGTATATATAATATATACTGTGGCCCAATATACAAGTATATTTAAAAATTAACATGTCTAGATTATAATAATAAGTATTAAAACTTTATCAAGAAAAAAGAATATTTTAAAAAATTACTTCTACNCACTTCCATTGTTACTTAACACTTCCATTGTTGATGGAAGTGTTAAGCCTTAATCCTGTCCCTCTCCCCCGTGGGGAGGAATTTCGAAAAATCCCTTCTTAGTGTGCGTTCTCCTATCGTACCCTAATTGTGTACCAAATTTCAACTTTCAACTCCTAACCGTTTGGGCTCTGCGCTGATTATAATTATTATTATTATTATCAACTCGTCTCGATTATATATTAGATTAAAATTTCTTGCTTACCCCAAAAACATATATTTCGGATTGGGTGGGATTAGAACCAGTGTTTATTGAAATAGGTAAGTTCGGATTTCATCGAGCACCATACATATGAGTACTCCCAGGGCAGATTTAGGGGTGCTCAGAGTACAGTTACATCCCCTTCTGAGGGTTTTTCCGAATACCTCAGTTAGTAAAATATTTTGTAAGGCATATTGTGTTACATAATATAATTATACCACATTTTCTGCATTTAATTAGCATATTGTACTACTATCTTACCTCAATCATCCGAAAACCCTTGTGGATCACGAGTAAATAAGATAGTCACGAGTTTAGACTGTATAATTTTAAATAAATAAATAGATAAATATAATTAAACCTTATCTTCTTTTCCTTCTTTAGGGAGAATCATGGACATGGGACCATGATCGAGCATAAGATGAATATCGTCAAGTTTTATGGCACTTTCGATTCGAATTATCTTTATATCTTGATTAACAGGCATCATTCCATGGTCCGATACGATCATTAGATTTACCTGAAACAGGAAAATATAATAATAAACTTTGAGTCAAACTTGTTTACTGAAAGCTTCCTTCTATACTAGAGCCTGAGAATATATATGTTGAAGAACAGATAAGAAGATAAAGAAAGTAACTTTATAAATATAGAAGATGTTAGTGATAAAAAGAATATGTTAGTGATAAAAAGAATCATCAGATTTCCTCTTTATCTCATGGAGGAAAATGAAAAATACACAGTTAAAATCATTTGTATCTGCAAAGAGAGATTTAGGAAGCACATTATCTCAAAAGATTACATGATGCAGAATAAGTTATAAAGTATCAAATGGATTCAAGGAAAGACTTGAAAAATTATTCAAAATTAAATAAGTTAATAAAATTAATTAAAGAAGGATAAACCGAGCATAGAATATCAAAAATATCGAATCGAAATGCATTTAAGTGTTTCATTTGAATGGTGGAACACGTCAACGCAACACATGGGCAATCTGCCAAGGGGGTGTTCCCAGTGAAGACTTTCTATGGGAAACTGATCTCCATTTAGGTGTTACATACGTGAAGAAAACCCGGAAAACTCCACATGGCCAGCATGTTAGTAAGGAGCGAACCCGCGACCAACTACAGTACCAATGCCATTGGCGCCAACTTTAAAGATAATATTTATCTTTAAACTTTGCGGAACCGACATTATTGGAAGATGAACGGATTCCAATCCTTTACAGTTGGAGACCAATTAGTTTTTAGTGTTTTTATGAAATCCAAAATTATATGTTGTTACTGTTAATTTCAAAGAAACTTATAATTTGATTAGGCTATCTGTGTTAGTTTCTTAATCTATTCTGAATAAACATATCATATTTTAATACGTTTAATTTACGAGAAATACATAAATATGTAGCATGAATGCCAAATATTGATATATATGGGACTATTGACTTACTTCGTTTTCGAGGTTTCGCCTGTTGATCTCTTCTTGAAGAGATAGAAGAATTGAATCGATATCTTGCAATGCTTTCTTTCTTTCTTTAGAATTAGGCCCTCTAAAATGGCCTTAAATAAAATAAATTTCCATATTAACTATAATAATTTGTGCCATTATAAGTTATTTACGAGTTTATTAAAGTGCATTCTAAGCAATCTAGGCTCTCAAATTCTATCATATATTAGCGAAAATACTTACCATTTGCATCTACAGCTTCATAATATACTAAACCTAATCCGTAATCTTGGTTTTGAAACATATCCAATATCTTAAATAACGCATCTTTTGTATCTTTGTTAACTTTACCCCAAATCCAATAATTTTCATATTCTCTACAGAAAGACGGTTTCTTTCCACGAATAACTACTTGGCATCCATCCCACCAGTACATTGCAGTTTTTATACCATTTTTTTCAGCTGTGATCCATAATGGTTCCGCGTAATTCCACCAATGGGCATGGGAAGCGTTGGAATGAAGAGCCATCAAGAAAATATCATCTTTCTCTTTGTCGTACATGTAATTTTGTACTATTCCATGATTTTCGGCGTACAAGCCTATAATTTAAATAAAAATATTTCATTTTTAAATTTTACATACGGTTTTAAAAGTGGCAATGTGAGATATTGTCGGACAATACGTAGAAGGGCCGGGTTTACGGATCATCCTTTATTCTTTCCCCTAAGAATTACCTTAGAAAATTATCTAATTTTTAAAGTAATTTGTATTTCTTTTTAATATATTAATTTAAATTAGGATTAAAATTAAATTTCATAGTCGAAAATATTAAAATTCTCTTTCTACAATTAAAAAAAAAAATCTCATAAATTAACCATTTCAGAAGGGATAATAAAATTTAATTTAGCCTAAAATATATTACTTTTGGTCATGAAATTTAATATTAAAATTATATTTTTGTTATAATAAACATTTAAATTCTATAAAATTTACAATAACATTATACAGAATTAGCCAAAATCTAAATTAGAAAGTCTGTCGTGTGTGAACCGCTTCTAAGTGAAAGACAATGGTGAACACTTGGCACATTTAAATTTTAACCTCTTTCTGTGTTTTTTTTACGTTTGTCTCATATAAATATCACTGTAAAACTTTCTTAAGCGGGTCACTCTATACATGAAACGTAATATAAAAAATACATGGAATAATAATATATTCGTTTATTCAGGCTGATTCATAAGTCAGTACACGTAGGCAAAGGACTCAATTTATTGTTTAAACACTCGTGAATCATAGGATACAGGTCCTACGCTGTATAAATGCGATTTAATCCAATGCACATCTGTATGCATTCCTCTTACAATAGAGAGGTTGCGGCCGACGTTTTCAACGCGAAAACGTGTACGTCGGACGTACAGCACCGCTTTCCTATAAGCCTAGAAGTTTGACAATGGTGTTTGGATAGCCAGTGGAATCATGACCGACGTCCCAAACACCATTACCAAACTTCTAGGCCTTTAGGAAAGCGGTGCTGAACGTCCGACGTACACGTTTTCGCGTTGAAAACGTCGGCCGCAACCTCCCTAATATATGCAGACTAATGTTTATTGTTAAAAAAACAAACACACGCATCATAAATGTGAAGACTTTTGAATTACTCTTGTACAACCACCGTTTATAATCCAGTTTTATGCTAAATTTCACGAGTAATTCTACAGAAAATTTAAATATTTTCGATGTTTCCTTATAAAGCAATACACTGAAACACATATATCTTCCACTATACAATGTATTGATTAAAATATAATGGAATGCCTCATAAATATAGCGTAAATTATTCATAAATATATATATATAAAATTTCGTGTGACAATTAATTTTACTTTCGTTTCTACAGCTTACCTGTAACAATTGTATACCAATTAGGATAGGAGTTTGTAGGAAATATAGGTGTAACGTAATTGGCCTTCATCCCATTTTTAGCAATCATCTGAAATCCCGATAGATTACTATCATTCATATAATCCCATCTGACACCATCTACAAGTATAACTAAGAGTTTGCCAGGGGAATACGAAGCGTAACACACTCCAAAGCACAGTACCATAAAAAACAGACCAAAACGGTATATGTGCGTCATGACTGTAGGAAAATTAAGAATTAACAGTTAAAATATACTCAGTTTCTAATATTTAATGATTACAATTCAACTTGCTTATTGGTCGGTAAACTTTAGGAGGAATGTTACGTCAAGTAACATTGTGCGCTGACACAGTTAACCGCGTGATGGAAACTTGTAGTCGCTTTAGGAGTAAATTTAAGTGAGAGTCTAGTCGGTACCAGAAAGGAAAGGAGTTATTTTTATTCAGGGGGGTATCTGACCCTATTTACTCGATCTAGGTTATAAGGGAGAGTTGCCTCAGGGAAGGTCAAACACTCTTCAAGAGGTTCAATCATGTGGAGATGTAACGAGACACAATTGTGTAGGGAAAATTTGGTAAAAAGTGAGAATTTTATTACCCAATTCTTTATATTCATTATTATTATTATTATATAAATACAATATTTTGGTGTTATTGATTCGTTTTCCCTATAGAAAGTTGACAATAAACCCATTTATTGTCAACTTTCAAACTGTCATTGTTAAGGTTTTTAACAATGAATATTCATTAGAAAAATAACAAAAGAATTAAATTTTTGTTAATTTTGGGTATTTTTTATAGTGTTTTTTCTATATTTTCGGGGTTTATATATTAATAAAAGAATATTTTTAATAATTGAGTTTCGGGGTTACGAGAAAGGAGGTAGATTTCGTTCTCACTTGTGATCTAAACATGGGGAAACACTGGAAAAAATACTTATATGATACTAATTTTTTAAAAATTTTATCCAATAAATGATGTTAATAATTAATTATTTTCATATTATTCTGTTTAAAAATCTTTTTAAAATTCATAAAATTCGCTTACAAAATTAAGCTCCTTGTTAATAAAATGATGCAATTAATAACGAAGAATTAATTTATACAAAATTATAAAAAATTAAGAAGGAAGATAACGAATCCTGTACACAATCGAACTTCCCAACAACGGCCACGAAAACATAAGAAAATAAATAAATAAATAAATAAATAAAAAAGGCCGTTGTTGGGAGTGGCAGCTGTTTGTAGAATTGTATGAATTTTCCTCCAATTTTCCTCTAATGCTCTTGAAAAAGTGGCCTCCATTTACAGGTGGTCGTTATAGAAGGTTCATAATTCTGAAAATAATTTATTCATTGCTAAAAATAACGAAGTGTAAATGCCCCATCATAAAGTAAAATACGAGGAAATGTATTCGGTTTGTGTGAGAATCGAACCCACGCTTTTAAGTGAACATCATTTTTTATAGGGCTTCATTCTCTATACAAGCTGTAACTTTGGGCCTCACAATTTTACATGTATCATTTATTTGGTAGAGCGAAAGGGCCTCCTGTTATATGTTATAGCTTAGGTCCACAACAAGTCTGAGTTTTATCGCCTAAATAATTATTAAAATGATTTATATATGAATTTAAAATGTTTATTGATAAAATAAATAAGTTTTTATAGCGTTTAATGAGGTATTATTAATATCAATTTTAAATTTAAGTTCTATCATCAGCAAGACCTAAAGAAAAATGTTAAGAACTTCTAAAGAAACGTGGGAAAATTACAGTAATTACAGTTCATAAATATAATCAGAATTATATTTAAATTATAAGGTATATTTCCTTATGATTTCTGTTAGAAGTAACATTCGATAATTATAGAGTATCGAGAGTTATAAATAGAAGCTTTCATATGGCTCGTCTTAGACTTGTTGTGGCCCTAAGCTATAATTCATAATAAGCCCTTCCTTTCTACCAAATAATAATGCATGTAAAAATGTAATGCCCTAATAATGCGAGGCCCTAAGCTGTTGCTTGTTTAGCTTATTGTACGAATCTGGTCCTGAGCTTTTTGAGTTCGAACAAAGTCTATATGTAGCCTATATAATTAAAGCCTTAGTCTCTGTATTAAAGCCTTAGTCTCTGTATTAAAGCCTTAGTCTCTGTATTTGAAGCCTTAGTCTCTGTATTAAAGCCTTAGTCTCTGTATTTGAAGCCTTAGTCTCTGTATTTGAGCCTCTGTATATAATTAAAGCCTTAGTCTTTATGTATTTGAGGCCCGCACAAAATGGTCCATCTCTAAGTCTCTTAGAGATGGACCATTTTGTGCGGGCCTCAAATACAGAAAGGCCTCAAATTTAAGTAAATTACGTTAAAAATATGAGGAGGAAGTGATTTAGATTAAATTAAGTCTGTTTTTAATATGTTTTATTCGTATAATTTGGTATCTTTGTAGAGAGAAGAGCTCTATATTTGTAATTGAATGATAATCGTCTCACTTTAAGACAGATTTTTAAATAAATAATTATAGTATTTGGTCATTACTGT